GTCACTGAATTGTACATGTAGAAACTTTTGAAATGGTGTAACTTTGGCTATGCATATTTTCACCAAAAAAAGTCCCTCCAAGGTCAAGAAGGGAGAGTGTTGACATGCCGTGGGGTTGTTAACCAATGTCATAAAACAATATGTGTACTGAATGTTTAATGAGAAACTATTTGTTCTGTAAACCATCATCTAAAGTACAATAAAAATTTTAAAAAATCCCCCAAATTATGCTCAGCTCCCCTATGTAAAATTAAACTAAAACAAAGGGAAACAGTTTACTAATCAAGTATCTGAAGATTTGAAATTAGACATTAATGATAATGTAAATACCATACAGAGACTGGAGGAACCCCCAAAACTATGGTTCCTGGACGCTCTGTTAACCCAGAACTGAAACCATTCCCAAAGCCCACTTTTCAGACATAGATTAGACAGGCCTATAAAAAAAATAATAATACACATGAGGAATGAGCTTCTTAGTTCATTCAAATATACGAGACCAAATGGGCAGCTCCCATCCAAAACCAGGACAAGAAGGCAGGAAGGGACAGGAACTGAACGAATGGACACAGGGAGTGGAAAGGGGGAGCATGCTGTCACGTTGTAGGGATTGCAACCAATGTCACAAAACAATATGTGCATAAATTTTTGAATGAGAAATTAACTTGAGCTGTAAACTTTCACCTAAAGCACAATAAAAAGAAAAAAAAAAGACTTTTAAACTAAGTTTAACTAGTTAAAATTTAATACCAGAAGTCTTAATATATTACAAAGAATGTAGATATGCTTCTTTTGATTCCATTCATGCCTGTTAAGATGACTGCTTGGGGCCAAAGCTGCCACAAACATTCTATTTCCTTTGTTTTGCTTAGAAGGTTAAATACGAAGTGGCAAAAGCCAATTTGTAAATTTGGATATTTCACAACTTCATGCGTAACTTTTTACTTTTTTGATTGCCCCAACTCTTAGCTGAAAGAATACGGAATTGAGATTTCAAAAAAAAAGATTCTTTATAAATCAAAATAAAGTGTTTTCTTCATTAAGAAGCTGGTTTTATTCTAATAATGTATGTTTATTAGATAAATTTTAGAAAATGCAGAGGAGTACAATGATAGAATAAAAAAGTCCCCTGTAATCCCACATCAAGATAACTACTGTTTATATACTGACTGCCTTTCCCATGCATGATGTTTTAATAAGGCTGAGGTCATTTCTTTCTCAAATCGAAAACATTTAAAGTCAGACAAGGGTGTGATTTTTATACATCTCCAAAAATTATTTTAAAACCTGTCCACAATTCTCAGTTTTACTCCATGTGGTCCTCAGTGTTTTATTTTCTCCCCTGTGGGTACATGGCTCCGCAACAGAACAGAGGCTGTTTTAAAGCTAACATAAGGTCCCAGTGACTCACCATTGTAGCATCGTCAATGATGGAGTAATTGGCCTGCTGCAGGTAGTGATGTAGTATATTGCATAGTAAACACGAAGGATTTTCTTGGAGAAAGCGGGCAAGTTTTGTAAGTCTATTGTATTTACTTCTTAGTGGAAAATGTACACTTTTATTCTGAAACAAAGCAAATTAATAGATTTAGAATGATATAACAAAGATCCTACAAATCAAATATCTCCAGTAATAAAGAAGTTACAGTCTGACGTTTTCCAACAATGAGTTAACAATAAGGGATTAACTTCAATAATAACATCTGCATAATACCTTGTATTGCTGAAAGGCATACCTCTAATGCTTCTGTCATTATGCATCCCATAACAGCACAAATTCTCAAGGTTCCCTCAGTTTCTAACTTGTTTAAGGATGACTTGAGTTGATCAATAGGAACAAGCCATGCACCAACGGCAGGGGTTGCAGTGCTTAAAAGGTTCAGCTGCCTTTTAATAAAAAAAAAAAAAAGAAAAAAATTATAAAAACAAATCTTAAGATTTGTATTTCAATCTCCCATACCTACTGAACTTGGTGGCTATTTCATTCAGGCAAAATTACTTTCTTTTCCTTTGTACCACCTGATAAATTATGAAAATATAATTAAGCAATGCAAAGAACAGACAAAAGAGAAGAAAGAAAAATAGGAACTTCTCATCAAAAGTGAAAAATTCAAGGTAGAGTGACAGATAAAAATAAAACTGAAGCACTAGCAAAGAAAAGGGGGCAGCAAACTGAGAAAAAATGTCTATAGAAAGTATGAAGTAGGAAACATGGAAAAAAGGTGGCAACCCAAATAATGTTGCTGTGTGCCATCGAGTCGATTCTGACTCATAGAAACCCTATATGACACAGCAGGATTGCCCCATGGTGCTTCCTAGACGGTAATCTTTACAGGAGCAGATCTCCAGGTCTGTTTTCCCTGCGGAGCTGCTGGTGGGTTCGAACCACAGACCTTTTGGTTAGAAGCCAAGCACTTAACCACTGTGTCACCAGGGCTCCTTACCCTAACACTAGATATATCAGAAAAATAATTCAAAAAACATATAAAACAGAACTGTAGGCTATTTGAAACAGAGAAGAAACATCAACGGATAGTATTACATTTTGAAAACTTACCTAGAAAATGCATGTGCAGGAGATCTCACATTAGTGGGAGCTGCAAAACTAAACCAAATTTCTTTGATGGTCAACTTCATGCTACATGAATCTGGAGGTGGAGGCATTAGAGGTAGATCTTTTTTCAAGTCATCAGATTCCACTCCTTCATCCTACATAGAGTGCCAAAAACTTACTAACGTACAGTACTTAAAACCTCTAATATTGCATTTTAAGCAGCAATATCTTTCCACTAAATCAAGTTCTACAGATAACAAACACCTTTACATAAAATAGATAATGTGAACCTTGCTCAGCCTACCTCCCTGATTCTGTGAAATATCTGTGGATCTGTGAAGCTTCAAAGAGCATAGCCTGAAAAACGACTACATTATAAAGCAGAGATCTTATAACTAAAGGGGTTTCAATTAATTACTTAATTCAACCACATTTGTTTAGGGATGTTAAGTATTTTATTTTATTTTATTTTTTGATTAAGTGAGAGAAAGAGGTTTTGTGACTTGTCAAAGGTAGGAGGACGGCTGACGGAATTAATGTCTTCCGCCTCCTACTGCAATCTATTTTCTATTCCATTTTAACAGTAATTCAAACTTCCAAATAAAGCATCATAAGAAATATTTCTGTAGTCCATTTTCAACCAGTTCTCTATAATAAAAAAAAATTCTTAGTTATCTTATATACTAGTGATCTAAATCTGTATTGAGAAAAAATAATATTTTCAAATATGCAATCACCACTCTTCAGAATGCAGGGAGGTCAGAAGCATAATATTAAGCAAATGTCTTCTGCCTGTTATACCTACTTACAAGTCTCAATTTACTTTTAGATATTGTTGGTTAAGCTAAGAAAAAGATTGGTATTTTTTGTGGAATGATTACAGAATGAAGCGTAACCACAAAACAGCTCTGAACACTAAGTGTCACAAGACAATGTGAACTACAGACTCTAGTAAATTTGAAGTCAGTAGTAACTAAATATAAGTACACCATCCCTTACTTGAGCTTCCAAACCCACAAAGTTCTGAAAAACTGAAATTTTTTTTAAGTATGTCACTAAAATCTGATCTAAATAGATGAAGGCTACTTATCCTACTTGGCGTGTTTATTCATGTCGTGCTGCAGAAATATTTAAAGGTTTCAAGACAGAGGGCTGTCTCAGATCCCACTAGGACTTTGTGTAACATACAATATAAATACCATATTACCTTCCTTAAAAAAAAATACCTGAATTCTCAAATACATCTGACCTTGAGGGTTTCAGACAAGGGGCTGTGAACCAGGCTTTAGGTATACAAAGATGCAGTAGACACTCTTGAGAAACTTGAAATTTAAAAAAGGGAGGTGGGGGTTGTAGACAAATAAGCAACTAGTTACAATGGCATGTGTGGGTTCAAGCAAAGTAAAAATAAATTTGCTTTTAGGCTGACTGAATTTGTGTGCCTATGCACATCTGAGTCTAAAAAGCCATTGGAAATACCGTTTTGGAGCTCAGGTAAAGGGCTGGTGTTAAAAAGTACGGCCTGTGGGGAATAGATGTGCCATCAAATTATAAAACTGTCCTGCTAAATGAAATAAACCAGGGAGTGGACAAAAAGGAAGAAGAAAAGAAGAGTCAAGAACAGAATTTAAGAAAGAGAAAGGACCACCCAACAAAACAGATCAACAAAAGTCAGAAAGTCAAGGAGGACTTTCACCAAAGACAGTATGATCAGCGTTGACCAAGGAAGATGCCTGAGATTCTGCCAAATATTTTAGTTGGTGAAGAGAAAGAAAAGCTAGCTCAGCCTTTTTTTTTTTTTTTTTTTTAATAAGTGAGTAACTATTATCTTTTAAAATTTGTTAAAGTGCTAATCTCCCAAACACTTCCAAAGACCTTACCAGAAAACTAGTAAAATTCTTAAACTATGCATCAAATGAAAATAAATGTTTAAAAAATAAATCCCAAGCAACCTGGGGTTCAGAGGTGAGTATGTCAATGAATCCTGGATATCCATGACAACTTTCTTTGGAAATGTTTTTTCTTTACTCTTCAATAGGTCTAATTTTTAAAATGATCAGAAACATATGTATGTACACGTGTTTAAGAACACTTACAAAGTTCTTACTATGTGGTAGGAAATGAGTTAGACCCTTTAAATGTATTTAAACTACTTTATGAGGTCAATATCAATATTACACTCCTGTTACAGGTGAAGATATTTGGGAGAAGGTAAGTAACTTCACCAAGGTCACCTATCAGTAGTACAACTCTTCTGCAATCTAGAAATTTGAATATTTTTGTCATTGCTGTTACTGTACTAATCACCATAAAATACAACCATAATAAAGATAATTAAATGAGTTGCATATCAGGTATTCTTCAGGAGTCTATTAAGCAGATATTGATGAAAGTATTGAGAACTTACATGAAATACCATCAATGACAAAACTAGTTATTTAAAAATTGAATTCTTCTAAAATCCTTCAAACAAAAACAAAGCATGCTTTTCTTAAATTCCATTAACTTGACAACTGTTTTTTAAGTGCCTACTATAAGCAGGTATTATGTAGGTACTGTGACTGACCGATATAAACACATCTCTTATACGATGCCTACATTTCAGAAATTATACTCTAGTAGTAGCATACTCTCCAAAATGCTTTGACTAACATTTAAGCAGATACAAATACAAAATAGGGAAAGACAAGCAAATGTACTCTAGAAATTCACTATGAACTGCGTATGCAGTTTTCTGAGTAATTTTTTCAAAGCATTATTATTATTAGAAATTCACCAACTTGTTCATCCGAAACAGAATTTCCATTTACGTCTGAGGAAGGACTTGTTCGGTCACAAGGAAGATTATCATCGGAGACATCAGTATTATAGCCACTGCCAGTTGGAGAATCAGAAGAATTATTGGATGTCAGCACTCCACCCCTTTCTGTGACATTAGCTTTACCCATAATTCCAAATGTATTATATAAAACAGCACCAGACTGTCTTCCTCCTATAAAAATGAAGTCATTCATTTTATTAAAAATAGTACATCAGTGTCTTAATGCTATTCTCTAAGATATCTGCATAAAATCTCATAAAAATAATTTTATTCTTTCTCACCAAGACTGTCTTTATAAAAGTGATGCATGGTTGCATTCTGAGGTATGGAATTGTAAGCATATGCAATACTATTATATATAACTAAACTGAAATTCTTATATACAATTCAACCTATTATAAACTATTGTTCAGTAACTTAAAAGAAAAGCAAATATAACCATAAGTCAGTCTTTTTCTTTTACTGTGCTTTAAGTGAAAGTTTACAGTTCAAGTAAGTCTTTTTCAATGAATAAAGGATTTACAGTGTTTTCATTCAATATGGCAAAGTTCTATTGATCAAAGATCCAGTTTCCAAAGATGCAAACTTCCAAAAAGATACCTATCTATCTATCTATCTATATCTATCTATTTCTGCGTGTGTGTGTGTGTGTGTGTGTGTGTGTGTGTGTGTGTAGGAATTTTTTCTGAATCACAAATTTCTTTTTTCAGGCAATCAGGTTTGGTATGTCTGGATGCCCTGACTAGCTCTAATCACACAATGGAGGGAAAGTTTCACTTACACAAGTGCGATGGGGGCAACCACCCTGATAAATGATCTCAGGTACTACACTTTCTACTTGAATATGATGTTTTAGGTCACTGAAAGTCACAATAAGGGAATGAGCTGAAATACTTCTTCGTTCAAAATATTTCAGCAATATGGTGTCAATGTGTCCTCCACTTAAGCAGAATTTAACAACAACAACAACAAAATGCTTACCTTTTATGGTTAGACTTTCAAGTCCACATTCAAACATTATCCAACCCCATTTTTCTTGGCTGGGACCTATTCGAGTTACATCTGGAACAGCCTGATGATCAGTTTCATCCACAAAAGTAAACTCATCCAACTCTTCAAGGGTAAACAAAACTTTGGACTTCTCAAAAGGAATAGCAGTGATGGCACAGGTACCAATGTCTATTATCATAAGAGAGCAAAATGGCCATTTTAAAGATAGAAGTTTACATACTAAAAAAAAGAAAATTCAAACATTTAACACTGGTTGTCTTTGTTGGTGTTATGTATTGTTGAGTCAGTTTCGACTCATAATGACTCCATGTGACAGAGTAAAACTGTCCCATAGGGTTTTCTAGGCTGTAATCTTTACAGAAGCAGAACACCAGGTCTTCCTCCCATGGAGCCGCTGGTAGGTTCGAACCGCCTACCTTACAGTTAGCAGCCAAGCACTTAACCACCGTGCCACCAGTGGTTGTCTTAAGAATATATATTACTATTCTGTCAAAAAGACAGAAAAATAAAAGAAACAAATGAATCAACTTCTAAAATAATGCTGCCCTCTGTCTTACTACTTTAAAAGTGCCTGAAGTTTCTTAATTGTGTTGAAGCAAGAGGGAGAAAAGAAGGCTCCCTAATTAACAAATAATTGCTCAATGGTAGTATGAATTCATTCCTAGAAGATTAGAGAGTACTCTTAAAATCTGAAGTTAAAAAGCTCCTGAATAATTCAGCTTCACAATAAACTAGCTTTAAAAACTTTCTCATCATTTTATAAAATAAAAAATTATTTTAATTAATTACCAAACCACAGGAAAAAAACATCATTTGCTAGGGAAATTACAGCTTTGACTAAAAGACTACTGCATGCTAACAAATTTTATGTAAGTAGAATTCATCACAGGCACTGCCATGATTCCACTGCTTATAGATGCAATATGGAAAGTAACATCCTGATTGCATGGGAAAGGTTTTATTTCATCTCACTTTTTTTTTCATTTCTTCCTCTGAAGGCAGCTAATGAATATAGAAAAGCAGAAAGAAGATAAAGATCACATGTAATTTTACCACCCAGAGATAACGTCTATTTACATTTGAAGTAAATTTTCTTTCTAGTCCTTTAGAGATCATTTGCAAACCCATCTTTGGTTCTCACTTCTCATATAATCATTTTTAATGTAACCATGACAACTTCCTCAGATCATTTAAAATTCTTCAAAGATATTATTTTAATTGCTATGTAACATTCCATTATATAAAAATATCCTACTTCACATTTATGATTAGAAAGTCTTGCCTAATCAGAGAGTAAAGATTCACCATATTTTCCTATGATTTTCTCATTATTTAATACTTTTATATTTAAGTCTTCAACCCCATGAACTTATTCTGATGTATGGTATAAGGTGAGGATTTAACTTGAATTTTATTTAAATTTCGTGAATAGGTAATACACTCACATAGATCAAAGTTCCAAAAAGTATCAAAGGATATGCAATGAAAAGCCTCTAACACTATACCCAGCCACCAGCCCCCCATCCTACAGGTAAAAAATATCATTAGATTCTTGGTTATCCTTTCACAGACACCTTATTTACATATAAGCAAAGACATTTATATTTCTTGCTTTCCCCCCATTTTTACAGAAATTTCTACCTTGGAATTTCAATGACAGTTTATCTTTGAAGAGAACTTTTTCTGAACGATGTGCCTTTCAAAATTATTCAAGGTATTGCTTATGGTCTGCCCAACACCCAAGTGCAAACTGATTACTGGTGCCAAATGCAGAGCCAAGAAAATTCTTTTGATGCTAAAGCCATGTGTATTCTGCACCAGCTTTAGAGCGACAGGTCTGAGGTGGTCATGCAAAGTCTCTTTATTTGGAATCCTCAGGTCAAATGCTTTGGCTTCAAACACAAGGATGGTGAAATAACCCTTGAGAAAATCACAGCAGTTGCACAGACCCAAAATGCAAACAAGAATCATGTAACCCCCAAACTGCAAAATACAGTCAGCAAATTCAAGGAAATCTTTGATTCATTCAGCAAGTAACTGAGCACTTGTTACACGGTAAACACTGGGGCTGCTGGGGACAAGCAGTATATCACACAGGCTTGGTCACTTGTGCCACACAGAGACTCTAGCATAGCAGTCATCATAAATAGGACTAACAAACTCAATTTTTTCTGAACTGAATCTCTGACAGTCTGAGTTCATTTAAGTCTCTAAATGAGAACAGCACTGAACAGAGTTGAAAATACTGAAGTGGGATTCAGTGTCTCTTCTCTCACCTCACCAAGGACTTTAAGAGAGATGGCCGTGTCTCTCCCTTTTACTGCTGCTTCTATATTTTACAGACATGATTATCTGGCTTTGATTAATTTGCAATTAATTCTTTTTAATAACGTTTTATAAACAACAATCTAAAATAGTGAGAAAGACTATTAAGATCATGCTTTCTCTGTTCTATGATGCGTAAGCAGATATCATTTAAAAAAAAAAAAAAAACTCATGGGAGAGAGAAGAAATCCCTAACGTGGGGCCAGACCACTTACTTTCTTACCAAAGTTTACCTTCTGTTTTGTGTAGAATGTGAGAAGTACTTAAATATTATGTGTTCAATATATGTAGAAATACCTTTCCTTTTTCTTATGAAACGTGCAAATTGTGGCAATATTCAAAGGAAAAAATAATCTTTCCTTTTGCAAAATCTTCTTAACTTTTTTCATGGCAAAGAAAAACATATTTTTTGTAGAATCATACCTGTTGTATCAAGACCCCTCAGTTGACCATGAACTCGATGAATGTTTAACTTGGCCGCAATTTCTTTGCCTTTTTCCGCTCCAGCATTCGATCTGAGAGAGCCAGATGACTGAGGCTGCATCTTAGTAGCGTGGGCATACCTATCGAAATTTGACGTTCTACCAGGTTCTGCACTGTTTGAAGTCTCTTCAACCACACCTCTTAATAAAAGAAGAAAAAGAGTATGATAGTTAATATGTAAATAATATAATTCAGTACAAACACTTGACTGATAAGTGGGTTTAACTTTTTAAAAAATAATTGTACTATTTTAAATGAATATATTAATAACAAATTTTTCAATGTTAAAGAAAAATGTTATGAATAAAGACAGAACAAACTTTTAAAAATTTCATTTCCTAATCTACAGGTGAGATTTGAAATTGCAATACCACTACTCAGTTTTAGCATTGGAGTTCTCAGAAACGTTATTAAGAAGGTGCTCAAGGCTTGTTTTTGTATCCAGCAAGATAATAATAACTCAAATTAATAAAATCTTTCTTACCTGTTCATACGAACTTGTGTAGCAATTCTATCAAAACACAATGCTACTAGGGAAACGTGAGTCACACTTCTACTAGGAGCTGTAGCTGGAGATTCTTCCACTGAGGCTTGTAACAAACATAAATTTACCTAACACACAAAATGTCACAAATTCAGTTGAAATACTGCATAAAATGTCACAAGTGTCAGAGCTGAAAATGTGAAGTTATCACTTCTACAGAAGATATATAAAAACATAAAAAATTACTATTAGAAATATATTTATGTGTTTGAAAATGAAAACAAAGCTTATAAATATAGACTTGCATAAAATAATCATAATTAAGATTCTTACTGGATGATACGGAACATTTTGCTAAGTATTACCAAATTTTTTGTTTAAGTAGTTTAGTTCTTAACACTAGATCATCCAGGGAAAACAAAATAAAGCAAAATTTTAATATTACAAACTATTCCATCACCATTCAGTTTAGTAAATGCAGAGGATATAACCACCAAAATATTTTCTTTGTTCAAAAAAATTACAAAAAAAATTGTTACCTTTGGTATGCTAACATTAGCCTGAAGACCTTTAATTGTCACATTATCTTGCTTCATTGTAAGATTTGTCTGTGCTTGTCCTTGGTTAGTAGTTCCTAAAGTTGGGTGCTCTGTTTTTGTTCCTCTAACATCTTGTTTGGAAGATAACTAAAAACAGTCAAAGTGGAATTAATATTTAACAGATCTTTCATGATTTTCACATCATCTGCAACAGCAACTTTCTCATTTACTGTGCCCCTCTATACCCATCTATGTGCTAGCTGCCATCTGGGGTAGCACTTCCAACCTTAAAGCTCAAACCTTAGAAAAGTTAGGAAGTACTCTGGTGGCTTCAGGGCTGAGAAGTATTACATATTAAAGTGAAATCAGCCTACAGAGAAAGAAACAGCAAAAATGGTAATAATAATAATTAAAAGCACTTTTTAGGATCACTAAATTCTACATCTTGAAAGCAGACTTGGTTTCTGATAATAGGCTCCTTGCTGGCTGCAATATTTTCAAATTTCTTTTTATTTGCAACTTCCTTGCCCTAACTATCTGTCACATGACATGCCTATATATTTTGAATAACTGTTATGAATAAAAATATTCAGCTTTACTTTTTACCACTCTTCTGTCCCTAGTTCAAATATGATCAGATAAATTTCAAAGTCAAATGGAGAATCACCTGAAGGACACCAGGATACAACTGCTAAGGAACTGGCTTCAGGGCTAAAACTACACATAAGTAGAATATTACACATTAGGAGGCAGTGACTTCACTCATTTAGATGAAAAAGAAATAATCTCAAAAATAGTAAGCTATAAGTCAACTAATCAAAGAGGAAAAGTAAAAAATACTAAGCAGCTTTGCTTTCTTAGAAAATGAAAGTACCAGCCCTTTAGGATACATTAGGATTCTTTACTCATTCACTTTAAGAAAGGCTTAGAATTAAACTATCTTCAAAATACAAATTATAAAAACAAAAAGTTACATTTTAACAAGTATTTTTATCACTATATAATCCATAATTCAATTACATATGCTACCTTTTATGGAGCCAGTGACATATAAAGACTATTTAGAACATGTCCATGTATTCCAGTTTAACTTGCTAATAAAATTTTGATACATTCAAGTTTTTTCAAGTTTGTATATTCTGTATACATGAAGAATACACAATTTGCCATGCCCATTAAATAAAAAATCCTTACATTTTCTGAGAAGGTAGTCTTGCTATTTTGGACAGCTTCCCTGAGGACTTTAGCATGAAGATCGTCTACAATTGCAGCTGGATGCCAGTTACTAGCACAATGAACCATTGCTTCAATGTATCTGAGGGAAGTAAAAACAGTAATCGAAGACATTAAATATCACTTTAATACTATGACCTAGCTTATCTAAACATATCAATAACATTTAGTACCATTTAGATATTGGCAACAATTATTTTGTATGGAAATGAGAATGCTTAAAATACATTTTTAGAAATTAAACAAAGTAAACATTTCTGATTTTATCCCCCCCACACCTCAAAATCAAGTGTTCTAGCTTGGGCAATGGTCTTTTCTTGTATGATCCCTGAAGATTATTTTCTATGGTCTTCATTATACTTTATTTGTATGACATCTCATATAATATAGAATATTAACAACATAAATTATCACCGAAAACTATGCATCTTTGCAGTAAAAGCAGTAATTTTATAAAAGCTGTTTTTTATTGACTCCCTTCTCCTCTGAACTCCTTCAGCACTTACTGTTCATCATACAACTTTGCACTCCATGATGTTCCATTTTAGTTTCATTCATGTTAGTTTTTTCTTTCTAGACAAATTATAAACCCCTTACAGAACAGAGTATTTATTACTTCCCCTTTATCAACTAGACAGTAGTAAGAATATGAAACATCAAAACTCATTCCTGGATATTTGTCCATTTTAGGCTCATCAACCCAAAAGTAAAAAACAGAAAAGATTATCAAAATATAATTATTTTAGACTGAAAAAGTCATCAATGATATCCAACTTAAGAATAGACCTTTTAAAACATATTTCCATTTTTATTCACTCTAAACAGCCATCATCAATATTCTTCTATATGAATACGACACTTACGATTTTATAAAACAGTAGTTATATTTTTAGACAAAATTTATACCTGTCTAAAGCTTCAGCCACCAGGGGAGTAAGAACAATATCCACAGTTCCTTTAACTTCAACTATGGCTGTTGTCCTGGTCTGGAAGACTGGCTGATCCAGGGTCCATTCCTCGGTTAATGTTTCATCATCTGTATTATCAACGGCTTTCTTTTCCAGAGGAGTATATGGTGTACTATATAATTTCACAAGCAAAGTATATATCAAAAAGACCATGACAAAGAGTAAAAGGTGGGGCTTCCTTAAGACGGGGGACCACTTAAACCTACACTAATTTCAACTAAAAGTTTCGTGGAACTGAATAGGTATTTTATGTCCCAAATACTTTTCAAAGACAGACCAAATGAGGTATTAAAACATAAAACTGTTCAAAGATGGTTTGTGCATAGAATAAGAAAAAAATTATTTGACACATTTCCTTGATGGAACTTTTCCAAATTATGAAAAATCTGTCCAGATTTCTTGTTAGCTCCCCATTTTGATATGCCGAGTGCTACTGACTGCTTATAAATGTTGCCAAAGTCATGACAGACAGAAGAGCTAAATCACTCTGGGTAATTTATTCTTAAAGTCTGTACTCAGGCAAAGAACGAATATTTCATAAATTCTACATATTTCATAATCAAGAAAAAGAGACTGTAAAAGTATATTATTTTTACTTACTTTGAAGTTGATCCTGAAAGTTGCATTCCTCTGTCTAGCAAAGAATTAGCTGTGAGCCCCTGTTTGATAACCTAGAGTAATATAAAATGTTATTTATAGTCTAGAATTTTAATATTAATTAGTTTTCAGATTGTATGTTATCTACAAGATATTTATGAGCATTGAATTTACCTTGCTAAAATGACTGATAGACAAAAAGAGAAAATCACAGAAACATTTAATAGGCAATTTCATTTTGTTTCTTCAGACAAATGGCAGGGCAGGGTTGTGAAGGTTGAGGAATGAGAATAAAAGACTATAATTGAAGTTTAAAAGCAAGTGCTTCAAATATTTTTCCTCCAGAGATCCTTTTAAATTCAGCTGTTCTTAAGCTAATTTTTGAGGCTACAGTTTTCCCCTAGCATAGTCAACTTTTAAGTCGGAAAGAGATGACCCAGAGAAATATTAAATTGCTAGGAAAAGTTAGACTTCTATTTTATATCCATAAAAGATAAGAAAATAAATGATATACTTGAATAAGCAACTGAACTTTTATAAATGCTGATTAATTGGTTAAAAAACACAAAAACCCACTGCCGTCGAATCGATTCCAACTCATAGTGACCCTATAGGACAGGGTAGAACTGCCCCATAGGATTTCTGAGGAACAGCTGGTGGATTCGAACTACCAACGTTTTGGTTAGCAGCCGTAGCTCTTAACCACTGTGCCAACAGGGCTTAATTGGTTATTTAAATTTAATGAAGTAAATTTCTTACCTCCTATGTTCTATTTTTGAAGTCATCAAAGATATAAATTTCTTGACCTATCTTTTACAGAGATTTGACTACCTAACTAGAAAGACTTACTGTAAAATAATACTAAAATAATTCTAACCTCTCAGGTACTATGCTGCACAACTAGTACCATTTAATTTTATACTAGAAAATTCATATGCTGACATATTTCTACATGGAATAAGAAGAACATTTTAAAATTCTGGCATGGGCCAGTCATCTTGGGTAAGATGTGAAATGGGCATAACCTTAAAAACAAAATTTTGCAACTGTCACTGATATTTCTTCTTACTTCAATACATATGAAACATCTATATATATCAGAGGATATTCAACTCAATTTATCACATTTCTATCATTACTGCTACATCTTATGTCCAAGAGCCTGTCATCTCACGCAGACTGCCGCAACAGCCTCCTAAGTGATCACCCCACTTCCTCTCTTGTACTTCCACTTGGTAGTCAAAGTACATGAGGTCACATCACATTTTCTTAAAGCTCTCGAGTTTCCTAGTGAAATTAAAATAAAACTTCAAACTCCTGATACCATGGCCTATAAATCCTGAGTAATCTAACCCTGTTTAGGTCTCCCGCTTTATCATGAACAACTCTCCCAACTCGCTCACTAGGATTTAGGCACTCTGGCCTCTTTCCCAACTTAGGGCTTTGCCTGGAATGGAGTGCTCCCAGCTCCTCTCATCTTCATTCCTCCTTATTCTTCAAGTTTCAGCTTAAATATTACTTTCTCAAATAGATCTTCCATGTCAATACAATCTAGGCAACTCCCCCCCACCCCATTATTCTCTATTCCTGTATCATTTTATTATCTTCGTTAAGACTCTTCTCAATTTATAATCATCTACTTATCTGTTTGGAGCCCTGGCCACACAGTGGTTAAGAGCTACGGCTGCTAACCAAAAGGCTGGCAGTTTGAATCCACCAGCTGCTCCCTGGAAACCCTATGGGACAGTTCTACTCTGTCCTACAGGGTCGCTATGAGTCAGAATCGACTCAAAAGCAACGAATTTTGGTTATTTTTTGTACATCGAATGCCTGGCACAAAGAAGTATACAATACCTCAATAAAGAATGATTGGCTAAATGAGCATTTAGATACTTTAAATATGTATATGTATACATACATATGTACATACCACATAATATGCCTGAATATTGTTCATCGGTTCCGTAAGATTTTTTATGTTTAATTTTCTCCTTTTACACTGTAAAAATTTCTATGATTTTAATAAATAAACTTTTTGTATTGGTTATTATCACTAAATTTACTCTGACGTGTTTTCAGCTTGCCTAAAAAGCCGTTTACAGAATGCATGACAGAAACAGACAATAACCACACCAATACTAAACAGTAAGATCTCAAATGTCAAGTGAGTGGAATTGGGTTTGCAAGAAAACAGCTACAGAGTAGTAGAAAGAACATAAATTACTAAAAAAGATTTCAAGATTTTATTTTTAAGACAAAATATGAATTTCACAGAGAGACCTGATCTTAACATGGCAGTATAATGTAGACACACATTATAAGTTAATAAATTAGGTTAACATAGTGACAATGAGGTCTTAAACCATTCTTCAATCTGATACGCTTAAATTTGTAACACTCATCAATAACCCTAAGACCTACTGTAATACATGAAGCCATGATTTCAAAAACACTATGTTTCAAAAAGGTAACGAAATACCAGTTAGAGTAATTAAAAATCCACTTTCCTAAATAATCATATCAGTGGAAACTAATGACTTGGTTTATACCTTAAAAGTTGGAACAGCAAGCTGTTCACATGATGATGAACTTTCTTCACTGGTTGGTGTATCCAGATCGAGGGGACGGTGCAAGGAGGATTTAGAGGTTCTTTTGTTGGTTGGGTGCTTAACTGACCAATTAATTACCTGGAACTGAGTAAGGTAAGTCTGATAACAACTCATCATGGGTTGCTGAGAAGTAATCTGTTCACTTTCTACCGTTTTCTCACCTTCTACAACATACAGATGTTCTATAATGTCATCCTCTCCACCTAATGCAGAAACAAATGACGCCTGCGAAGGGTGAGTTTTGAACGGCAGAGTTCGGGAATCCTGACTGCTTTCTCCATGGCCAGTAAGTGGTCCTTCTACACTGTGATATATGGAACCCCTACTGTAGTCAATCTGCTGGGTCTGCTTTTTCTTCTTTTTTCTGCCTGGATAAGTTCCTGGGCCTTCATCACTGCTAATGGGCTCAAATTCTTCGGCTGCAGAAAAGTAGGCTTCACTATCAGCCATCGACATGCTGGAATCCATTGATCGATATTGATGAAATGAATTAGAGTCTGCTGATGGTGTGTATGGGAATGAACCAAAACTTCTTCTTTGCTTCGGTGAGTCTAGTACATTCTCATCACTGCGGGAGACGTCACTACTAAATTGGACTCCAACTGTAACAGGCTGTTTGTCACCATAAAAAGCAGCAGTAAGACTCTTGGTGCTTCCAAGTCGGGTGGAACATACAGAGGCTTGCCGTTTCAAGGGAGATCTAAGAGGAGACTGACCTACTGACTTATCCTGAGGATTAGGAGACACAGGGCTGTTTCCTGAAACTTCTGTAGGAATACTAAAACAGAAAGAAAACCTGTTACCATTTTCTGTACATCATATAATTTAATCTAACTATAAATAGAAGCATCTATAAAATCCTCCTAGTAATTTTAACAATTTTTTTTCCAGTGAAAGAAAAATCTAAAAATTTACAATATCCATAACAAAGTAGCAAAACAGCACAATATATGCTCATATCCTGTAGAGTTAAAAAAAATGAGGCCGCTTACAATAAAAACGTAAAGAAACTTGGTGTATAATCTTCTATCTATAACCCATGGACACTAATATATTTGTATGATTTTTTCCATATCCTTTAAAAACTTGTCCAGAAAAATATACCAAGGGCCTTTGGGTAAATGAGAGGGATGGCAGGAGAGGAAGAAGTCACATACTCCCAGTATTTCTGATTTCAGCAGAAATACAGTGGTGCCATCTACTGAGGCAGAACAAGTTGGGAATGAAAGGCGTGAGGTCATGTTTTGTATGTTGAGCTTGAGGCCTCCATGAAACATCAAGTGGGTATATCAAGTAGGTAGCTGAGCTTATGGGGACAAAGGTCTTAGCTGAAGTTTTATATTTAAAAGATGTTGGCTACAGATCATAATTGAAGCCAGACAGTCATTGAGGCTGTCTAGGGAAATAGCATAGAATGAGTGGAGAAAGGGGTGCAGAACAGAGTCTTGAGGGATCACAACATTTAACAAATGGTTAGCTGTAAGAAGAAGAGAAAGAAGAAAGAGAAGAAAAAATGCAGGACATGGCAATGGAGACTAAGAAGGAAAAGCAAAGGAGGTGGGAGGAAAACTGGAAATGCGCTGTCAAGCTAAGAGGAAAGTGTGTTTCAAGAAACAGAGTAGTCAACTATAAAGGGCTAAAAATGAAGACCAAAAAGTATCCACCAGAGAGGGGGGATAACATGTGAATGTTAACAATCTATCATTCTGAGCGGCAGGATGACAAGAAACGTTTATTTTCCGGGCACTTTTCTATATTTTCCTAATATCTGAAATCAGAATATAAATTACCTTTATAATCAGAAAAACAACAGCAAATTGACATTATTTAAAAATATGGGAGTAGATGAAGAAAAATATTTCTAAAGTGGGACAGTGGAGGAGAAAGAAGTGTTTCTTGCCACAAGTGTAAACAACTAAAATCCTACTACAATCAGTGAAGTTTTCTAAACCTAACTGAATACTAACCTTCCTTGGCCATCATCTCTTTTCGTACCATGTAAGAACTCTTTTTGAACCAAATGGTCATCAGCAACAGAAGAAGGACTTTCCTTTTCACTGGCCAGTAAAGGCTGCACGGCACTACAGCTACTGTTCTCTTCTGAGGAAGAGGATGAGCTATGAGATCGTAATGGTACTTGAAGACTAAGGTGCTGAGTTTTTCTCTCTGCTTCTATTCCCACTGACTTATTTTCCCATTCTTTCTTTTTCATGCCATTCACATGACCTAAACAAACAAAGAGTGGGTTAACATAAAATTTCCAAGGCAAATTTTGAAAAATGACTACTCAATTTCTTTTGATTCCCTATTTTTAAGTATAATCATTTTTCAAAAGGCACAAGAATCTAATTCACACAGCAATATGTTAAACATCATAGAAAAACATCTACGTTTAAGTACGGATCCAGAGTCCATGCTTAGTAAATTCTTATCTTTTTTAACCTTTTATCTGAAAATTTCCAAACTTACAGAAAAATTTCAAGAACAGTACAAATAATACCATAAATTTTTTACTCAGGTTTACCTATTTTAAAAATTTTGCCCCATTTGTTCTATTTATATATAATGTACATAACACTTTCTGAACCATCTGAGAGTAAGTTGCAGGTATTATGGCCTTTTTACCCTAGATAATTAAATGCTTATTTCCTAAAAATAAAATCTAATTACTGTATGGTTACTAACTTTAGTAAATTTACTAATCGTAATATTTAATCTATCATGTATTTTCCAATTTTCTCAATTGACTCAATAATGTCCTTTAACAAAAGCATATGCCCCCTCCAGTACAGGATTCAACCTAGGATCATGCATACATTTGGTTGTCATGTCTTTTTATCTTTAATGTTACGGAAACACTGTAGCATTTCCTCAGTCTTTGTCTTTTATGACATGAACATTTTTCAACAACATGGGACCCTCCCCCCACTTTTTTAAAGAATGTTTCTCGTTTTGGTTTATCTGTTGTTTCCTCATCATTGTACTCAGGTTATCCTGGTTAGAATACTGTATAACTAATATCGTATCCTTCTCAAGGTATCACATCTAGAGGCATGCAAGGAATGTATTTTAAAGAATAGTGTTTCTCGAACCTGGCTATGTTCAAAACCACTAGTGATTAAAAATATATATATACACACTATCCATTAAATCAGAATCTCTGGGGGTGGGGTTGGAACCTTTTTTTAAAACTGTCCAAGAGTTATTTATATATTTTTATTGTGGATTGAATGCAATTCCTCCATCATATACACTAAAATATAAGTTAAATGAGGACAGAGATTGTATCAGTTTTGATTCACAGATGTATTTCCAGTGCCTACAACAATGCCTGGCACAGAGAAAACTCACTAAATTTTTGTTACTGTTGTTTTAAATGAATAAATAAATGACTATTCAGCTAAATAGAGCACCAATGTTTCAGGGTTTTACAAGAGCCTTGTGAGTATTATGTAAATTTGGCAGGAATATAAAAATAAAGTTCTATAGCTGGCTAGATCCAAGGAACAATCCCTGCCCAACTCCCCTCACACTCCTAGCCCCAGTCGTCCCCAGTGTTACCCAAGTAAGGGCAAAGGGGATCTTCCAGCAAACAAGTTAGTGTTCACTGACATTCCAAGCAGACCCTCAGTTCTACCATATGCCCTCCTTGATTCTATCCTGACACTGTACAATATCTATACTCAGCTCCTGGCAGAGAACAATCAGAAAGTCAGAGACTTAGCAAAGGACTAATTCTAATCTTTCCTGACAAAAATTTATGGCAATTACAACTCACTCCTGAGGGAATCACCAGGAGGTAGAGACACTCTGTATTATGCACTGTAAGAATTATAATGTCTTTGCTTTGCTCAACATTAGAGAGGGAGTTTACTATCATTCCCCCTCTTTTTCACACCATGTATAAATCCCCTGTAGATTTCCTTCCTTAGAGTTGGTGATATTTAAATTTTTGATATGCAGATTAGAAAATCAAGCAAAGTCTTTGTAATTAGTGCATGCTTATATATTAATATTCACTGAAAAATCATTTAAACAGGAATTTGGCATATGTACTTCTGCTCTTTTCTCCAAGAGCTCCCAGACATGGGAAATCAATCTAATAAGCTCTTAAAGCTAAAACTATTTCTTTCATATCTTTCTTTGCCTACCAACAAAAGGTAGAGCTAAGTTAATGTTTTCAAGTATAAGCAGTGAACAGTGCACGTAATTGTAAGAACACACAACTCAGAAACCCAAAGGAAACGTGACTTCTGAAGTCTTGAGAGAAATGACACTAAACCAAAAAAAAAAACAAACCCGTTGTCGTCGAGTCGATTCCAACTCATAGCAACCCTACAGGACAGAGTACAACTGCCCCATAGAGTTTCCAAGGAGCACTTGGTGGATTCGAACTGCCGACCTTTTGGTGAGCAGCCGTAGCTCTTAACCACTATGCCATCAGGGTTTCCAGAAATGATACTACATAAATCTAAATTTAATATATTTAAAGCCATCATTCACTGCTCATACCAAGCTAGTATATTTATTTGCAAAGTTATCCTAGATGGACTAAGGAAGGGCCAGATTTCTCTTGTTGATATGCTCCATTTCACTGACAATAAAAATAGTCATTACAAAATATCGCAACAACAATTGGTAACATGTGGGCTGGTATTATAAATATCACTACTGATAAGTCTATAAAAAGTAAGCTGGTAAAACAACTTTACCTTGAAACACAGCTATTTCTAAGTATATGCTAAATGATGGGTTATAAGAAAATAATGATATATAAGGAAATACTTAAAATAAGCTTGGCTAAGAAGGTCAACCATGTCCACAACAGGAGATCGGAAGAGTAGACCTACTTTTGCCTGTATAATTCTGAAAAACTCACTAATCTTACTTGGCTTTAGCTAAGTCACCTGCAAAACAAAGGTGAATTACACTGAACCTACCCACAAGACTGTTCAAAACATTAATTGGGTTGAACAAAGTGACACTGAACTTCTTTCAGAATGGTGTAGGGATGAAGATAATGAAAGATTACTACAAGTGACAAAATAACACATTTTATTACCATCTATAATTTTAGGAATTTCTTTAGTAATAATCCATTCTCCAGGCTGAAGCAGAGACTGTCCATAACACATATCAGACTCGGCACTTGTACTTGAAAATGCAGAGCTACTGGAAGGTGTCAACTCTTCAAGTCTGAAGAAATCGAGGCCAGTGATTGTGCCACCAAAGAATCTGCAGCCACCAAGGCAACCACACTTGTTCCTACACCTCTTATTCTTCAGAGTATCATCTGGCCACAAAAACCATAACCTAAATAGAACCCCAAACAAAACAAAGACACCAACAGAAGACTCATTAAGAAATAAAACAACTTTTTGGCAGATAATGAACTAAATGTAAGTTAATTATTAATCTTTTTTAAAGACAAGGTAAACACACAAAGGTTTATTTCTACCGTGATATATCTTTTTAATCATTTTACCTTTCTGAAAAAAAAAAAAAGTCTTACCAAGGTGAGATGTAAATACGTAGGAACAATGATAATAATAATAAAGATACAATATACACAGACGTAAAAACAAAAAGTTAGAAGAAGTAAACATGAAAATCAGACAGTTAAACCCAGTTTAAAAACAGTAAATATTTTCAAAAAAACTAAAACTTTAAGACATTAATTTACAAGTAGATTAAACTATTAGTATGTATTATGCTTAATAGATAACATTATTTTAGCATTTCAGAGGATATTTCATTGACAAATTTAATGCACCAAAATATTATAAATATGGGGCAACTAAGAAATTGTCTATCAATGAAACCAAAATAATATACTATTCTACATTCTAGAGAAAAAAGTTACCCAGTTTCACTTCCTTACAATAAGGACTACAAATGAGATATTAACAATAAAGACAATGGTAGAGAATGTCTGTAAAATTCTTCAGGCTCTGTGCAAGTGACCCACATATGAATTTTTCAGTCTTTATTAACCCCTTTCTTTCTTAAAAAAATATTAAATAATACAAAAACAATTATTAAATCTCAAAGCTGTATCTTTATTCCTTTTTTGTCTTAAATAATGAAGCCACCTTCTATTAACAGTCCATTTTTTCCAGCATTTTCATGTGTATTACCTCTCTCAGGGAGATGGGACAGATATTACTACCTTCATTTTACATTTATTCATTTAACAAAAAGTTACTGAACATCTCTATTATGTGCTCAGTATCATGCTAGGCAAAACTGATATGGTCTTTATCCATATGAAGTTAACAGTAGAGAGGCAAAGACAGGTCTTATCCAAGAAAATAATATCTACTCATAAATTGTATTAAGTACTATGAGGTAAAGAACAGGAAGTTGTGACAAAGAAAACAGGGAATCTTTAAGGAGGTAATATTTATGGGAAAGATAAGATGGAATGAGTATATCAAGTTAGAGGTGGAACATCAGTTTAGAGAAGACAGAAGCAGAAATATGTAAAAAGGCCTTGAGGGAGAGAGTCTGAGGTATTATTTCAATTAGATAATTACCAATTTCAAATCACTTCTCTATTTTAAAGAATCAAGACTTAGCCATTCAGCAACAATATTTTTAAGCACTATCAAAATAAAGGGCCCTGTATACTTCATAGAATTCTTTACTTTGTGCAGCAAAAAGTTCAGTAGAAAGTATGGCTTTGGAGTCAGCAAGACCTAGGTTCAAATTCCAGCTGTGCCACTTAACTAGCTCTAGAACTTTAGGCAACATCTCTGAGTCTGTTTCCTCATTTATAAAATGATAGTGGAAAAAGTATAAAATGCTGTGAAAAAGCAGTTTGGGGCTTAAGAGAAAAAATGTGTTATTGAATGTAAATACATTCCTTCCATATTAGTTACTATATAAACAGTCATATGAATGATTAAGATTAAATTGTGGACTTCTGGTTAAGCACAGAATATTGAACATCGAAGAAAAAGGATTGTTGTGAGGATTAAGTGATATAACGTATGTAAAGCAACTGATGCAAAATCTGAAATACAGTCCAAATTACACAACAAATGTTAGTTCCCCTTCCTTGACTTTATATACAGGCAGTCCCTGGGTTACAAATGAGATCCGTCCCTAACTGCGTCTTTAAGTCTTTAAGTCAAATTTGTAGGTAAATTGGAACAGATGCATATGGTTTTTACTTAGCCTTACTTCAGTGCAGGAAAAGGCTCGAAGCCTTTTCAGTGACTTAAAAGCTGCACATGCAGCAAGTGAAGGGGATTGTGAGGAAGAATTCATTTCGAGTGGGGGCTAGTTCAATCATTTCACAGTGAGGGCAAATTTACATAATGTTAAAGGACAAACACGTGTTTGCCATAAATCCGATGTTCATCACCCAGGGACTACCTGTAATCCCAGGCAGTTGTTCTCAAACGTGCATCAGCATCACCTGGAGGGCTTGTTTAACGACGGAGTGCTGCGCTCCCCCCACCGAGTTTCTGATTAAGTAGGTCTGGGAAGGGCCTGATGATGTGAATTTCTAACACTCTCCCAGGAGATGCTGATGCTGGAAGCTCTGGGACTACACTTTTAAGAAACACTAATCTAATGAAACTAATGGCTTATGAGTCAGGTAGCTTTTCCAGTAACATCAGGAATGAATATATCTTTCCAAAAAAACTCCTAGAAATCAAAGATTAAGCAGCCAAAGCTGAAGATCATGTAGGGAGATGCAATCCGCCACGGGCCCTAGGCATCCTGGCATGTTCTTGCTGGGTATGCCCAGAATGCAAGGCTCTGACCACCCTTTACCTAGGCCATTTCTCAGGGCATGTTTGCCGCTGGCAACCTTGAGGGATGAGGAAGTATCTCAGCCTAGGAAAGAACTAGCTTGCTTCTACTTACTATACAAGCAGTAGATTCCCTTAGCTCAATGTTCCTCTCCTGGAACACAAGTTACTGTGTGCGCAGGCATGCATCCCTTTGTGTCACCCACACGAGATTTTGGGATAGGGTTGCCAGATTTAGCAAATAAAAATACAAATAAAAATGAGTACGTCCTATGCAATATTCAGTTAGAATTAACTTGAAGGCAATGGGTTTGGAATTATGCAATATTTGGCACATACTTATACAACATTAGTTTTTGCTTATCTGAAATTCAAATTTAACTAGAAATCTTATATTTTACCCAAACCTACTTGAGAGGCACGGAAAACCTACGCGAACATATACGAAGCTCTGGCTACTGTTTTTGCTTTGAGTAGTTCTTTGTTTCTACCCAGGAGTCTTGTATCTTCTGCCAACAGGCTAACTTGTTAGCTTAAAGTAGGACAAAATCCCCTACTCTTCACAATTCTCAACAAACCAGAGCATTGAAAACAACTTAAGTGAGCCATGTGGAGCAACCTGAGCCACCTCCTTAGCTTCGTTAGCACCTTGCTCTACTACCTGAACTAATTAGACACAGGCATTTTGTTTACATTAACTGGCTACCTGAGCAGTAATTAACTAAGAAATCCAAGTTTTTCCTTAAAACAATATTCTCCAAACATGAGCTTTCATACTCAGATTTACAAAATGTCAAGTCTTAAATTAATTTAGAAGATTAATATAATCTCAACAGGATTTTTTTCTAACCTGCAAAAATAATCCTAATGTTTCTTTAGGAAAATAAACCGATGAAACTACCTACACATTTTGTGCAATGTGAAATTGAACATGTACTAAGTATAATTTATTTTTCTCTGTATTTGGATAGATAGTTGCAAAAAATCTATTTAGAGCTTTACCTAGATTCATACACACAAACACACACAATCCAGATGGATTTGAGTTTTATGCTAAGGAAAAAATAAAACACAACAGAAATCCAAAAGATGCCATCTGATTTCTAGCAAGAGAAGCATTTTCTAAAAGTAGTAGGAAAAATATCACAAAGGGAAAGACTAACATATTTGAATACATAAGAATTAAAATGTGTACATAAGAATAAAAAAATTAAAAGATGAAAAAATTTGAAAATATTTGCAATAGGGATCACAAAAAGGATAATAATCTATACAGAGCTCTTAAAAATTGGTGAGAAAAACACCAAAGTTCAATAGATAAATGCATATAGAACATAAATAGGCAATTCACAAATGAGGAAATCAAAACATAAATATATGAAAAAAGTATTAATCTCAGAAATAAAGAAATGCAAAATGAAACAAAGAGATACCACCTTTAAGTTATTATAAAACACTCAAAAGGTAGCAAAGGTCCAGTGAGACGGGGCTCTCTTAAAAAGCCATTGGATATATAAACTGAAGTAACCTTTCTGGGAAGTAATTTGGAAATGCATTATCAAAATTCTCAATCTGTAACCTAGTAAAACTCCCTTTTAGGAAACTATTTAAAAGAAATAATCATAAAGTATGGGAAAAGATTTTATGTGCAAAGATGCTCCTCTACTATTATTTATAATAGCAAATTTAGAAATAATCTAAAAATTTAATATAAGGTTAATGATTACGTAAAGCATGGTTTATCCTTCTAGTGGAGTATTATCATTTGTTTAAAAGAATTATAAAATAGTCAATCGTGGGTAGATGCTTAGGATATGAATTTAATGAAAACATGTAGAATTAAAAAATGTAAATACAGGATGATCTCAAATATAAGAAAAATATATTAAAAATAACAAATAAATATGATGAAACCGTGTGAATGGATTAAACAATTATCTTCCTTTGTTTCTTGATAGTTCCCTGTATTTTTACAGTAAGCACATATTTTAAGAGGCAGGGATAATCATTTCTTAAGGATCAATGGATACAGGTCTATGTGTTCTCAGTCTTCCCTGCAGTTCCAAAGCCCCACAAAAGGAATTTTGCAGAGTACATGGTGGTAGCAATGGTGAGTTCTAGCAATGATGAATTGGAAGTGGAGAGCTAGAGTGAGTGAGAAAGCATAACATTTGCTTTATAAAATGTTTTCTGGGGATGAGTACTTTAAACTTGTTTCAGTGTTGACATATATATATAGTGTATGCTTACCAACACATCAGAAAACAATGTTATTTCCAGCAACCACACCATCACCAGAGCAGAGATATATGATGGGTTTACTTAAATATCAAGTCTTTACATATCCCATGAGATGTAGCAGCACAATCATATTGAGCCTTTATTTGAAATGTTCTTATTCCACTCCTAATAGCAGAATTTCCTCTATAATTATCTAGATTTACCGTCTTAACCTGTGACTGGTGCCATTCTTAAAATTGTCACCTACCTCTTAGTTCTGGCATCATGAATTTCTAAGAAATGTCTTTGAGCCTCATGTTTAGAATGATGATCAGCAGCTAATGCAATGTCGACAGTAATAAGTCCTAAATTGGCTGACCCAGCTTCAAGCCAATAGGCCCTCCGCAGCACTGCAGGCTGAAGTCCGACTCTGCAATTGTTTAATTGCTCGATGTACTGTCTCACTTGAAAATCCTGAATTGCAGCACTTATTCCTTCCCCAACCGACTGATTGTGCAGATTACAGTTTGCAACCCGAATTGCACCCATCTAAAGTTGAATGAAGAAAAGGAAACAAAATGTAATTTCTGCATTTTTAAGCAGCTTAGAATAAACTACAGAATAGGTGGCTCATTTCATAAAGAGGTAAAGGTAAGCAGAAGAAGGGCAGAAGGGAGAGAAAAAGAAATGAAAATGGAAAAGGAAAAAGGAAAGGCAAAAAGGGGAAAGACTAAGGGAAAAAGAAAGGAGGGAAACCGAAAAGACAAATGCAACAACAGAATACAAATAATTAAACATTTAATAAGAAACAGGAAGATAAAAGGAAAAGTCCAACAGAGAAGGAGGAAAGAAAAGTTAGATGGGCAGTATGAGATCACAGAAACGTAACAAGATTTTAAACAACAACCCATAAAGCAGAGGTGGCAAACGTTTTCAGAAGCCAAGCAGGAAATATAAATGCATACGATCTGAAGGCATTCAAAATCAAATCTTTTAAAAACACTACCACTTTACAACCTTGCCATACAACCTACTAGTTTATAATCTTGCCATAAAGCAATGTTCTAATAATTCCATTAGAGTAAAAAAGTAACAGTATGCTTAAAAAAAAAAAAAAATACTGGAAGAGAACATAGGTGAGTAAAAAATAGCCATCTCCTAAAATTTTGTAACATTCAATGAGAATGCAAACTAATATAAATGTGTGTTATATTTCAGGAAACGGAGGTTTGGTTTAGTAAAAGAGAAGAACTACATTTACCTTTATATTTGTAGCACAGCCATGCTCCACAACATAAATATCACCTCCATCTACTGCTAAACGAGTCATTGTGTATTTCAAATCATCTGAAGTTGGACAAGGCCCAGAAACACAACTCAACTAAAATGAAAAGGAATTGATCATTGCCAAGTTATTTTGATACCTGTGTATGCCTATTTATTTATTTAAACAAACAAAATTCTCGTTACATGTATATATTATATTTAAAAATCAGTAGGTTACATTTTATTTTTTTATAATAGCAAATGCAATCATCAGCAATTAAAGAGCTAATAATTGGAAAACTAATCATAAGTAACCAGGTAATCATTTTCATTCAAAATGGTTGATATAATCGACAGAATACATACATTAATTTGTTACTGAAACACAAAATGAATAGTAAAGGTTGTGATTTTGATAAGTAAGCAATGTCACAATATAGGAGAACAGGCATGTCCCAGAGTGGTCTGCAAACCATGTCATGTAAGGAATTTAACCTTTCCCTTGCTTAAATTTCCAAATCTTCCATATAAATCTACAGCCATATCCTAAGGAGTTAGTATACTAATGCATAAGACATGAGTGTTAATAGTATAAATGTAAGAGGTAAGATACAACTTTTTATAGTATCTCCATTTATCTCTGAATGTATATATGTTTTATTGATTACCTCATATTTTAAACATTTACAATAACTGGCTAAGAATTTGCAAAATAATTTTATTAAAGAAAAAAAAGGAACTGTACTGTTTACTTTCTGGCTATGTGCATTTGACTTAAAGCTGAGATCTCAAATAATCTTTCATTTTTAAAAATTCATGTATGTTTATAATACGGCTAACATTTGCTGAAGTACCTTGGATTCACAGAACCGACGATCAATTCCATGCTGACATATTATTACTGATTTTGGTCTTTCCAGTTCATATTCCCGACATACCACATGAAAAACAAATGTCTGTCCCCACTCCAAGAGGCTTGCCAGCTACAAATAAGCAGTGACAGGGTGACAACACTGTCAGCATTTTAAACAAGTGTTCAGAGTTCAAAAGCTTAACAAGAATATTAACACAGCTTGAAGGCACCCAAAAACTGTCTTGTACCTGCTGCTACATAATCTACTTGTTGTTAGCCAACATCCTGATTCTTCTACCTTGACATCATTTATAAGCTTCTGTTACTTTTCACTTGTGAAGGATGAAATGTACTACCAAAATGAAAGCTCATTTCGACTGAAATATTCCACTTTAGCAGCTTCTAAAGCAAATACTTTTCTTCAAGGTTATGTCTTTCCTTTTTTAAGACTAATTAGAATCCACTGAACAGAAAAGCCTCTAAAATTCTCTACCTAGTGATAAACCAAGTTTTACTATGAATTTTTTTAGTATCTAATTATCATACCGAGCTACAGTTTTGGAAAACTAGGTATTGTGATGATTAAAGGACAATTTATTTATAAATGTAGATTTGTAAATAAATGTAATCTTACATAACCATATATCAATTCTTAAATAATCAAATCTTGAGGAAAAAAACCTTAATTTTGTAATCGATTAGAGCTGTTAACAATAAAAACATTGAGGGATGATTATACATGATTATCCCTCCAAGAAGTACATAATTTAAACTCTTGGAAAACATGAATTTCATCTTCAAAACATACAAAGAATGGAATAAACATTAACAGCACTTATGGAAACAACAATGCCAAGACTCTAGTGAAGAAAGAGAAATATTTCATCTTCTAACAGGGCAATTTATAAACACACAAGATTCTAGCATGCCTTAAGAGTAAAGGAATTGTATCCAGTCTTACAGGAGCAGCATGCTTTAATTACTTCTTAGGGAACAAGCTGCTTTGTTATGTTTCAGTTTTTACTTGTATATTTAGGGACAGGAGAAGGGGGATAATAAGGAGAGAATAGTTCTGATGCCAGTGAGTATTAAATATTTGGTTCCATCCATTTTTATACACTCCATTATACATTCCAATGTGATACTGAAATGTCATTCAAGTCACAAATATCTTCTTCTCTGAATCTCATTCATTTTCCTACTGTTTCTAGAATCTTAATTTTTGCTGCCCTCTGAAAATTTCTTTCAGGGATACAAGGTCCCTGGATTTTTTATTTACCTTCTTGTTGCTACTACCTACCACTAATTTATATGTGTTTGGTATCTACTCTGCAACTTTTTATAAAAATTGGGTATGTACATTTCTAACACGTTCCAGTTTTTTGAAATGCCAAGATAAGCATTCATATTATCATAAATATATGACTCAACAGGTGAAATGTAATAATAATAATAATAATGTAATAATAATAATAACAACCAAATTTCAATAGTCCATTTCTAGAACTAAATAATCCTCAAGGCTTCTGATAAAGTTGGAGGGGACAGTGATCCAAGAGGATCAGTAAATTCATTTTTTCTTTTTTTTAAATCAGATGTCACATCACTAACAGCAGGTATAAAAGATGTTATCTTGCTTTGGGGGATGACAAGTATTCTACCTTAGCACCGTAAGTTGTTGTATGCTCTTGAGTCAATTCCAACTCCCAGTGACCCTACAGCACAGAGCAGAACTGCCTCATAGGGTTTCCTAGGCTATAATCTTTATGGGAAGAGATCACGAGGTCTTTTCTCCTGCAGAGTGCCTGGTGGGTTTGAACCAACAATCTTTCGGTTGGCAGCCAGGCACTCAACCACTGTGCCACCAGGGCTCCTTTAGCACCATAAGGGATACTTTAAAATTGTACTTAAGAAATACACAAGAAAGCAAAGTTTTTAGAAATTATTCCACATTCTAGAAAAAGATGATACTTCAACAGTGGCGTGCCAATTAATATAATTTAAATACTATGTTAACTTGATTTTTGGAAGAGTTCTCATCCTGAGTTTTTTTTACAAAGAAAGTCTTGAATTCTTAAATGTATTACATAGAACTATATGAGATTACGTAGTTCCTGGGTGGTACAAATAGTTACTGCACTCAGTTGCTAACCAAAACGTGGGTTCAAGTCCACCCAGAGGTATCTCAAAGAAAGACCTGGCAATCAGCTTCCAAAAAAAAGCAAACATCTGACATTGACAGCTCTATGGAGCACAGTTCTACTGGCACGCATGAGGTCACCATGAATTGGAATTAGACAGCAACTGGAGGTGGTAGTGATAGACAGGCAGTCCCCAAGTTACCAATGAGATCCATTCCTAAGTGAGTCTTTAAGTCAAATTTGCAGGTCAGTTGGAACAAGTGCATACAGTTCTAATGCAGCCTTACGTGAGCGCAAGAAAAGGCTCCAAGCCTTTTCAATGATTTAAAAGCTGCATATGCAGTAAGTGAAGGTGATTGTGAAGAAGAAATTGTTGAGAGTAGGGAGGGGCTGGTTCAATCCTTTCAAAGTGAGGGCAAATTCACATAACAAAGGGCAAGTACAAGTTGTCCCTAAGTGGGACGTTTGTAACTTGGGGACTTACTGTACCACTATACCCATTAATCGTATGTGGTTCCAAAAAGTGAAACTTGTCTCTGACTTACCTCTGGCTAACAAAATTCTGAATGACAAGAATGGCTTCTGTCCAAAAAAGCACAAGATTGTCTGGCAATCAGAAAGCCATTAGTGAAAATGCAATGTACATTCATAATGGACACACAAGTTATTCTTGGGGAGGTGGGTAAGGAAAAGAAAAAGAAAATATGTCAGGAGACAATACTATGAGAATCCATACCTGTGGTGCTGTGACCTTAGCTGTAAGGCTTCCAGCCTGCACGTCAATTAGCCAGGCATATTCTAAGGAATCACTTCCTAAAGGAAGACCTTCTGCTGAGAACATAGCATGTGCTCTCAGCTGCAGACCTGACAAACTGATGTGACCTTCCCTGAGTACTTCATCCACAGAAGGTCGCTGCTGAAAACAATAACATTGAGACTGTAAGAAGTACAAGAAAATCGCATGATAGTTCCTAGTTGCCTTGCCCCTCCAGAGATGAACAGTAAAACCATGTTATCTGGAAAACAAGACTTCAGAATCCACGAGCTCCTAACACAGCTCAGACCATAAAAGTAGTGAGTTAAGTGAGCTTCTTTAGTGACACCTATGACAGCCCATATACAAAGCAAGGTAGCTAAGTCCTAAAAAGTATGCAGACCTTCTCTGACTGCTAACTGCCTCTATGAATAAAAAAAAATTAGTACACTGACTGACAGGGAATGTAAGAGACCAACCTTTTCATGGGAAAGCTAAGAATCATGAGATTAAAAAGAAGAAAATAAACAGGGAAGAACAAACACCATTAAGACCATAAAATGAAGAGCAGAGAAGAAAAAGTCAACTTCCATACAGACTCGGAGGATATACCTAAATGGAAGCCCTGGTGGCACAACAGTTAAGAGATCAGCTGCTAGCCAAAAGGTCGTCAGTTTGAATCCACCAGCTGCTCCTTGGAAACCCTATGGGGCAGTTCTACTCTGTCCTGTAGGGTCACTATGAGTTGGAATTGACTTGACAACGATGGTTGTTGTTGTTTTTGTTATTTCTTTTTAATACATATATGAGGGACAGTTTTATCTTAGCGATGATTATATACTTAGTATTAAAAAACAGTATACATTTCAAAAAGAAAACTACTAAGACTACTCAAAGAAATAAAGAATATGTCCTAAAAGAGGGTGTTCCATGAATACTAGTTTCACATAACATTATTAGAAATACAGAATCAAATAAGTTTGGAAATTATGTTCTGTTGAATCTACCTTCCGTTCTCCCTCAATTGCACTGAATTCCTTCCATCTCCACTGCTATCATCTTGATACAAATATTACTTCTTCCCAGGACCTGCAATCTGTAATATGCTTCTCAATGGCCTCCCAGTATTCACTTTTACATCTCTCTGCTCTATACTGTACAAGTAACCACAGAGGTCTTTTAAAAATGGAAATCTGATGTCACTTTCCTATTTAGAGTCTAATTCCCTTAGAATACACATACATCCAAAATCCTTGTATTCTTTGGCTCCCATTAATCTCTCCAGCTTTATCTCTTGCCACAACCCCTTTCACTCAGTTTCAGCCACAAGATACTTTGCTTGGTCCTTCACACACATCCAGCTTCCTCCATGGCCTTGATCTCTGAACATTCCTTCAAGATGTGCTTGCCTAAAATGCACTTCCTTCTCTTGCACTAGCTAACTCCAACACACCCCTTAGGTCTCAGGTTAGGCATCATTATGTCAGAAAAGCCTTCTCTGCCCCCAGACCATTACAAGCTACCAAAGCACCTCATACCTTTCTGTGGGGCAAGGAACTTGATTTGGCCTTATGTCTCTGGTTTCTGAAAATAACACAAGCAATTAAGGTGCTTTTGTTTTCTAAAACAGCCAGGCAACACTTCAACATATATAAATGACTTGGCAGAGCCTAACTCATCACCTTGGCAACAAGCCTCAGGAAGGGAGCGGGCAGGATGAGGCCTCTACCGCCCCCTACTTTTTGAGGCCTCATGTCTGTCCATGGAGCATGTCACCTAAGTTTGGGGTATAAACATGGCTGGGCAAGGGACCTCGTGGTCCCTCAGCCATGGTGCTAGGTGGAAGCACATGCAGCATAAGTGTTCTGAGGCCAGCCTAGTCAGGGGGGACTGGCAGAAGGTAGGTCCCCCTTTTTTTAAGTCTTTCACCCAGAGCACAAAGTGGGGTACACAAGGAAGAGCCATCATATACACCTGGACGGCCTTCTTGAGTTGGGAGGACATCCAAAAATTGATCCACATTTGTTCTGGTGTGTTGTCTGCTTCTTGTTGTGACAAAAGCTACTTTCCATGGGCTAGCCCTCTGGGAGCTTCTAGGGTGTTGAGACTCTGATTGGAAAGATGTAATATACATGGAGTGATCATTATTAGGAATTGGCACCCTTTTTCTAATAGCCTTCCGGCTATTTAGAAATTGGCGACAACCTGAAAGTGTCTTGCACTCTCCTTGCAGCACTTTGCAAAACTGAAATTATTTATATTAACTTTAATGTCCTCAATATTTATCTTCTCAACCAGGTTCATTAGGGCAAGGATCATTCTATTTTGTTCAACATGTATCCCACTACAGCTAACAGAGGGACCCCATAGAGTAAATGCTGCTGACTGACTGACCTCTTCATAGCAAGTCTTCTCAGAAAGTTCAGTTATTTCCCAAGCTAATTCTACTATGGTAGTCTGTGAGTGTGAGTGTGAGAGAGTGTGTGTGCGTGTGCGCGCGCGCACAGAGCATCTAACGGGGTAAGTGTTCCTTGCTTTCAACACATTTTGAAAATGCATTATTAAATTTTGTTTTAAATAAGGGTTAAATCTAATTCATAAAGTATTTTTTAAAGGAAATTTCAAATTTTAACTATAATAGTAATTCTAGGAACACAACTGATACAATTTTTATTTTATTTTCATCCAAGTTATGTGACATTAAGTAAAATTACCCAACTTCTCCATCAATTCCCTTATGTTTTATCTGCGAGAACTGGGGATAATGGTCAATAAAGATCTCTTCTGGCACTGAGATTCAATAATTCTCAGTATAATAAACTAATAAAAAGTTTCAATATACATATTTTGGGCTCAAAAGTGCATTCGGATCTTGATGTCTCCTAAAGATATAGCCTACCTGGTGCAACAATAAGGATTATATTCTACATTTTAATATGGCTTACATCATATAAGATGACCATAAAATACTAAGTGTGTGATTTCATAAGCTGGACACAATAATCCACATCATTACCTCAGATCCTTTACTTTGAAGCCCAGAGTTGACACTAATGCCACCTGGGCTAAGCAGTTATAGATGGGTGACCCAGGACTGAGCCTTAGGGGCAGCCATAGTAAGTGTAAAGCCTCCCACCATGAAAGACCATCAGATAGTATAAAGACAAAAGAAGAAAAGATTTCTTAGGAACAGTCATGCCAGCACTATAAAATGTAAGCAAATTAAGTAGATAAGCAAATTCCAAGAGGATATATAGCACCCTTGTCTTTGGGATGAATTAGAAAGTGCTAACCATCTAGGAAACAAAACAGCATTGGTACTCCTACTACCACTTTGATATCTCCATTCCATGAACTACTCCTCTAATCCCCAAATAAATCATACTTTATACTTCAGTCTCTCTACAAGTTTGCCATACCTCTGGAACAAGAGTTAATGTGAACCCTCATAATAAGCCCAATAAAATGTTTTTTATATCTGTAAAGCCTTTGAAAATGCAGTCGTTAAAATAAAAGTTGACATATTTAATGTTACTGAGCCATACATGTGAAGACTGTTGAAAGGGTAAACTGTTTTGTTACCTATATATTTACCACAATAAATAAAGAAATAATAATAATTATAATAAAGGTTATATACTATATGATTCTACTTTGCAATGACAAAATTATAGAGATAGAGAACAAATCAGCAGTTACCAGCAGTTAGGGATGGGGAAGTGAGGGAAGTGGTAATGTCTATAAAAGGGCAGTATGAGGGATTTGTGTAATGGCACTATTCTGTATATTGATTTTGGTGGTGGTCACATGAATCTACATGTGATAAAATTGCACAAAATTAAGTACACAATACACAAACACGCACACATAAATGAGTGCATGTAAAACAGGTGAAATCTGAATAATGTCTGCGGATTGTCAATGTCAATTTCCCGGTTGTGATACCATACTATAGTTATACAAGATGTTACAATTGGGGGAAACTGGATGAAGGGTATACAGATCTCTCTGTATTATTTCTTACCATGGAATGATAATCTATAATTACCTCAAAATAAAAAGTTTTTTTTAAAAAGGAAAAAAACGTTGAAGTGCTACTAGGTACTCATAAGAAACCAGAGATATTCATCTAAGAGTCTTAAAACTCAACCATAGGAAGAGATTTTCCCTTTTACCTGTGTTAATTCCCCCAATATTACACACTGAACTGTGTCGTCCAAAAAGACAGGCTGAACCCTGTACCTGTCAATGTGACCGTGTCTAGGTAAATAGGGTCTTTCTTTAAGGCATTATCAGTTAAGGCATGCTGGAGTGGAGGGGGTCCTACTCCTAAACCTTTCTGAGTGTTGTCTTATAAATAAGGAGAAAATACATGGAAAAAGTCACACACAGGAAGAAGACACCATGTGAAGATACACCTACAAGCAGCAAACAAATGTCAAGGACTGCCAGCAGTCACTGGAAGTTAGAAGAGAGGCATGGAACAGGTGCCATCTCAGAACCCTCGGAAAGAATCAACGCTGCCAATACTCTTCTTTGGATTTCTGGTCTCTAGAACCATTAGGTAACAGATTCTGTTCTTTAAAACCACCCACTCTGTAGAATTTTGTTATGGCAGCCCTAGAAAACTAAGACACCTATAGACTGAAAAAAGTAGATGGGCTTCCCCCACACATTCCACCTCCTAAAATAAAAAGCAACCAATCTGAATGGCCCACTGATTACAGGGAAAAGGACAAGACTTCTTTTTGAGGTTTCACGGCAAGTTAAAAGTACTATGCAAGTGATCCTTGTGGTGACAGAATAGTTCTATATCTTAACTGCAGTGGTGGTTACACAAATCTACATGTGACAAAATGACACAGAATTATACACACACATTGTACCAGTGTCAATTTCTGGTTTTGATATTGGTACCATAATTATGTATACATAATCCTTAGGGGTCCTTAGGGGAAACTGGGTGAAGGGTACATGGGACCTCACTGTACTATCTTTGCAACTTCCTGTGAATCTAATTATTTCAAAATGAAAAGTTTTAAAAAAAGAAACACATATGGAGGCAAAAACAAACAAAAAACAATATTAAGTGTTAAGTTTCAGTTATTATTACCTCACCTATATCAAACAGATTTATAGCTATATATAAACATATATGTAAATTAAAATGCTATGAAGAAAAATATAGTCAGCTATGGCAAAAGAGTAAAAAAAAAAGTATATGCTATTTTAAGTAGGATGGTCAGTTGCCAGATATATACAAGCGATCATCCATGATGATCTTTGGGTGTTAGACTCATCTTCCTGTTTATAATTTTATTTAGCCTTGTATTAAAATCAGTTTAATATTTCTAAAGCATACAACTTGACTAAAAGTAGGGAAGGGGGTCCTAAAGCAGTGGCAGACGCCAAGAGAAGTCATTTGGTGATTAAAAAAATAATAATAAAGTGATAATCTACACAGAAATGTAAAATATTCCTATTTGGTAAGTATCATCGGTTCTTTTCAAAAGAACCCAGAGGTATCTTGAAGGAATTAACAACGCGTCTTGTAATTATGCTAGATGAATAAGTTACTGACTATGTATTGATCATGTATATGCATGTTTTGAAGACTTATGGGGCTGGCTGATTTTTTTTTTAGTTTTTTTATTGTGGTAAATATATATGTAATAGTTTGCCATTCCGACATTCTTCATGTGTACAATTCAGTGATATTAGTTGCGTTTATCTGTTTACGAATTTTCCCAATATAGTGCTGGTTAATATTAATACTTATGTTGTGATTTTTAACAAAAACTATCAATATTTTATACAATTAGTTTTTCCTTTCCATAAACATATGAAAAAAAATATAAAGTATTTTTTCCATTTCTAAAAACAAAAGATATAAAATATAATTGTTTGGGAACCATATCAATAGGGAACAGCAAAAACACAAGCTGAGATTTTTGAAACAGTGTCATTACCAACTCCATATTGTCTGGGTGTCTGTCTCTCTCATTTATATTCACAAAACTTCTTAACACAGTTAAATTTAAAGTACCTAATGTAAAGAGCTCTATATTGCACACACAGGAGCTAGCACAATGTTTTGACCCCGTAAATATCAATAATCAATCCCTAAGTCTTTATATTAACCCATTTTTACATTACCTGATAGTTATCACTGACAAATACATTCAGGGGTGACAGGACAAGCTGCAGCATGGTCTCCCTAAATCCTTTTTTCATTTCAAAACACAGTCTTTCCAAGAAAGCTGTAGGACACTCAGGGCCATCAGTAGTCCCATGCTAAAAGTCAAACAAAATACCATAATCAAGATACAGAACAAATGGAGACCAAGGAAGTACAGGCAAATAAAAATTACATTTACCATGATGAAGAGATTTTGAATTTTAAAAAAGAATAAACAGTGTTTAGTGACAAAAATAACTATTCTGTACCCCAATAAGGACATTAGCTGCATGGAGCACCAGAGGTGACTTCTCTGGTATGCAACCCTGGGTTCATGATGTATAACCAGTATGTACCACAATGCTCTAGGGCTACCTGCTGCCTATCTGGCCTACCTCCAAAGCCCCTGGGTCTTTAGGGAAATATAATCTCATTTCAAGTCAGCCCCAAGAGGTCCAAGGGGTATCCTCAGAGTGAACAAGGATACTGTGCTGAGTCTGACACAATTCAGCCTCCAAGTTCAACCTTCTGAAACTGGATTTTATAATAGGTCCACCATAAGATCCCAAACTGGTCTAGGGTCTGGAGATAAAGACTAAGAAAATATAAGTTCTAGAATATTTATCAGGTTAACTACAAACCCAGAAACTCAATGTCAAGAAAAAATGTTCTAACATTACACAAAACAGTAAAGAAAGAATTAAAGTGACAGAATAAAAATAGAAAGTAAAATTATTAATGATCAAGTAACCATATTTGAAGAAAATAGTATGTTCCCTTTATGAAAGTAAAACAATAAATTTAGAAGTTTTTCAATCTGCAAATTTTTTATAAGTGTGCGTCTGTGTGCACACACACATATACAGTTTCTTATATTATGTGGATTTCATAATACACTCCAGGCTATCTTGATATGTAGATACTTACCACAGGAAGACGCCCATGAACTTTGTACAAATTAACAAGTACAGTAATATCCCAAGGACGCAAAGAAAGCGGATGAATTGACTTGGCTGAACTTTCATTTTCCTTTTTGTCATTTTCCATTCCAACAGCAGTCCACCCAGAGCTGGATGATGTTGATAGTGACAGAACAGGACTAGAAATAACCTCTTCAAAATCCATATACATATCATCTTCCCCAAAGTAATTTTCCTATAAATATTAGAAAAAAATTGCTATCAAATGAGATAATAACAATAAAATTTCACCTAAGAGCCCCAAATTTTTAAACTAAATATCCCCTTAATCTACTGTAAATAATAAAACACATCACATCTATTTCTTTAATATGAAAAATACATATACATATTTAAGACCTACACTTAGCTGCTTGTACTTTAGGTCCTAGGAGAGACCTTTGAAGATTGGTATGGTCACTGGTTATCCACATGTTTCTCAGTGTTCTGAGACAGTACCCAGGGGCATCCTTTAGGGGCACATCAATTCACTGAAAATGAATTTGACTAAATCTAATTAGCTAAATACTCTAAATCACACATTTTAGCAGCAGTATTTATCAAGAATGTTTTAACAATTTTAATATGAATGTCTAATTTTGGTTATTAATGAGACAAAAGGATATGTTATCAACAGTTTTCAAAATTTCCTTTCACATATTCATCTTGGTTTTTTATGCCAGAGTGTATCAAACATTATTAATATTCTGACTTCTTTTGGATGTTTTAAAGTAAATTTAAATTGACTTTTAGTTCAAATTCTTCTTCTTCCCACTGATTCTGAATTTCAATTTTGCCTATTTGACTTGTCAGTAGTAATCAAAAGTTGTTAAAATATTCCTGTCAACATTGTTCACTATGTTAAATATTACCTAGCCTAATGTTAAATGTTTGATCCTCGGTTCCCAATTTCAATTTTTTTAATATGTGAACTCCATCTAGAGGAGTTCATGACTTAAGAATTCAGTAAAAAGAAATAATTCAAAAAAGGTTGGGAATGTAGTAATATATTATGGCAAATTTCTAAGGTATTTTAAGATTAATGACTACATAAAGATACTTATAAACACAAATAAAACTTCCATTTGCATTTAAGGGTAGATAACACGAAAAATACACAGTCACTATACCAAAAAGAACTGGTTGACATTCAACCATTTCAGGAGGTACCATATGAGCAGGAACCAATGGTACTGAAGGAAGAAGTCCAAGTTGCACTGAAGGCACTGGTGAAAAAGAAGGCTCCAGGAATTGATGGAATACCAATTGAGATGTTTCAACAAACAGATGCAGCGCTGGAAGTACTCAATTGTCTATGCCAAGAAATTTGGAAGACAGCTACCTGGCCAACTGACTGGAAGAAATCTATATTTATTCCTATTCCTAAGAAAGGGGATCCCACTGAATGCGGAAATCATAGAACAATATCATTAATATCACACGCAAGTAAAATTTTGCCAAAGATCATTCAGAAGTAGCTGCAGCAGTATATCAACAGGGAACTGCCAGAAATTCAAGCTGGATTCAGAAGAGGATGCAGAACCAGGGATATCATTGCTGAAGTCAGATGGATCCTGGTTGAAAGCAGGGAACACTAGAAAGATGTTTACCTGTGTTTTATTAACTATGCAAAGGCATTCGACTGTGAGGATCATAAAAATTATGGATAACACTGCAAAGAATGGGAATTCCAGAACAGTTAACTGTGCTCAAGAGGAAACTGTACATAGATCAAGAGGCAGTCGTTCGAACAGAATGAGGGGATACTGCGTGGTTTAAAGTCAGGAAAGGTGTGTGTCAGGGTTGTATCCTTTCACCATACCTATTCAATCTGTATGCTAAGCAAATAATCTGAGAATCTGGACTATATGAAGAGGAATGGGACATCAGGATTGGAGGAAGACTCATTATCAATCTGCAATACATAGATGACACAACCTTGCTTGCTGAAGTGAAGAGGACATGAAGCACTTATTGATGAAGATCAAAGACCACAGCCTTCAGTATGGATTACACCTCAACATAAAGAAGGTACAAATCCTCACAACTAGACCAATAAGCAACAGCATGATAAATGGAGAAAAGATTGAAGTTGTCAAGGATTTCATTTTACTTGGATCCACAATCAACACCCATGGAAGAGGCAGTCAAGAAATTAAAAGACACATTGCATTGGGCAAATCTGCTGCAAAAGACCTCTTTGAAGTGTTGAAAAGCAAAGGTGTCACCTTGAAGACTAAGGTGCGCCTGACCTAAGCCATGGTGTTTTCAATCGCCTCCTATGCATGTGAAAACTGGACAATGAATAAAGAAGACTGAAGAAGAATTGACACTTTTGAATTGTGGTGTTGGACAAGAGTACTGAATATACCATGCACTGCCAGAAGAATGAAAAAATCTGTCTTGGAAGAAGTACAACCAGAATGCTCCATAGAAGCAAGGATGGCGAAGTAGGGCTCACATAATTTGGACACGTTGTCAGAGGGATCAATCCCTGGAGAAGTACATCATGCTTGGTAAAGTAGAGAGTCAACAAAAAAGAGGAAGACCCTCAATGAGATGGACTGACACAGTGGCTCCAACAATGGGCTCAAGCATAGCAACAATTGTGAGGATGGTGCAGGACCGGGCAGTGTTTCGATCTGCTGTACATGGGGTCACTATGAATCAAAATCAACTCAATGGCACCTAACAACAACAGTATGAAAAATTACACTATCTTTAAAATCAATTCCAAACAACCCCAGAAAAATTACTCATTTAAAGAACTTGGAAAATGTATTATTTGGTCAAGTCTGTAGCACGCTTGATTTTAAGAATAAAATCCTTGAATCTGAAGATTTATTCCTTTAGGAATCTTCCCTAGATTACCAAGGTGGGGGATGATAATCAGAACAGAAACTAGTTTTCCACAAATATTAAACACATTTTTCTTTGCATCTTTTATCTTACAGATGCTTTACAGTAGTTTTTGGTAAAAATAATATTTTTTCCCAGTTGCTGTCAATTCCCACTCATAGTGGTCCCTGCGTGTGTCAGAGGAGAACTGTGCTCCATAGGGTTCTCAATGGCTGATTTTTCAGAAGTAGATCACTCGGCCTTTCTTCCAAGGTGCCTCTAGGTGGACTCAAATCTGGACCTTTTGGTTAGCAGGCAAACACACTGATCTTTTGCATTTCACCCAGTGACTCCAAATACATTAACTCAAATACTAAGATTTTAAAACCCCATTTAGCTAACATTTCCCCCAGAGAGCCTTCACTAACAAATCTTAGTTGTCCTTCTCTGAACAACACTGATCATCTTTGTCTCTTTCCAGAAATGATGACTCCTATCGCTGTATAATATGAGATTCCTTGTTAGCTAAGTATTCAATATCCAAACCGCTGTAGATGTAAAACTGCAAAAGAAAATAAGTAAGCACGTGGGGTCACCATGAGTCAGAAATGACCTGACAGCAATGGATCTGGTTTTGTTTTTTATAAAACTACACCCATGCAAACATCCCATCACGTTAACTCTACTAGTCATGACGTTAATGTTTGATAACTAGTCTCTCTTTAATTATCAGATGTAGTAAATAACCAATGTACAATGAAATCAAAAGTAAAGCGAATTTGTAAAGTCCTCGAAAAATGCAACACTTCATGAAGTTGGTGGAAGTGATGTTGGAGAACTGCTCACATCACAGGCAAAGCTATCAGTGGGGCAAGTGAGAATCTGGAAGGATTAGAGCAATTACCAAGAAAGAAGAGTAAACCAGCAAAAATGACGACCTGCTGGGACTTTTAAAAAATATGATTTGAATAACAGAAGAACTAGAGTGGTCTCTAGATAAGTGACGAAGCCCTCAAATATTTTTCCAAAACTAGCCTCTCTTCATAATCATACTATAGAAAACAAACGAAGTGTTATACTGTGTGATCAGACAATTTCAGGGGAAAAATTACATCAAAAGGAATCAACACTAGATTTTGTCTTTGTTCTAAGTATCACGGCGTATTTATTCACAACCTACACTTGGTTTACTCTGAGATAAGTTTATTTTCACATATTTGCTTTAAATTTTTAAGACAAAGATCTAAACAAGGAGACTTCCGGCAAAATGGCGCTCTAGGCAGAAGCACCATGCCATCCCTCCACAGCAAAGATCCGAAAAACTAAGCCAAACAGAGAAAACAGCAATCCTGAAACCTAAAACATCAAATGAAGAGATAAAGAACTCAGCCAAGCACCATATGGAGTGAGAAAACTGACAGAGAACGGAGAGCGAGGAGAGATTCATGCAGAGTACCCCTATCAGCTAACGTAGCACGGATCCGCCATCTTGGACTCCTATTGGAGACCTGCAAACAGGGGGTACGAGAAAGCAGCTTCACGGAGCTTCCAGCAGGAGACAAAACAACTGGTAATTTGCGATATATGCTTTTCCACCCCGGACCCTTCTTCACCCCCACTCGGCCTCCTCTGCTTCCCGCAGCCACAGTCTCTTATTCGGGAAGCAATGACTGCTTGGATTCCACCCGCCCGAATTGGCTGGCTCTCTGAGTGCCATTTGTTGGCTACTGGTGTCGCTTTTTTCCACTTCTTTTGATTTCTTCCTTACGTCTCACCACCTCCCCCTCCTTTTGCTCAAATACCTGGCTCTGTGTGCCATCTTTGCTTCTTCCTGAGGGGCTGCGGAGCTCTGATAATTTCTGATATATGCTTTCCCACGCTCCACCCTTCTTCATGTACTCAGCCTCCTCTGCTTCCCGCGGACACAGTCTCTTGTCCAGGAAGCAATGACTGCTTGAATTCCACCCGCCCGAATTGGCTGGCTCTCTGAGTACCATTTGTTGGCTGCTGGTGTTGCTTTTTTTTCCGCTTCTTTTGATTTCTTCCTTACCTCTCATAACCTCCCCATCCTTTCGCTCAAATACCCGGCTACGTGCGCCACCTTTGCTTTTTCCTGAGGGGCTGCGGAGCTCCGTTCGAGTGTGGAACTGCTTCTCGCTCTGGGCTGCCACGCTGGTGGGAACCAAGGGTTTTTGTTTGTTTGTCTGTTTTGAATTGTTTGCTTGTTTTCTTCTCCTTTTCTTGGGTTTCAGAGCCCGTTCTGGCCAGGCGGTGCTGCATGGCTTGGAACCTACACCCTTGGCTTGCGCAGATGCGCAGAGGGATCCCTGAGAGCATTTCTTTTTTTGTGGGTTTTTTTTTCTTTTCCTGTTTTTTTGGGGGGATTTTCCTGTTCTTTTTTTTTTTTTTTAATTTGTTTTGTATTCTTTTCCCTCTTTTTCCCTTTTCGTCTTTCTTCATTACTCAGTTTCTCGTCTTTCTATACCTTCCTTCTCTTTCTGTTCCCTAAATACCTGGTGCTGAATACCTCTATGCCTTCTAGCCAGGCTATACTGCAACACCTAAGAACAACTTCCCAGACATCATACCTGCAACGGTGGGATCTCTGGGAACTTTGCTGTTCTTCTCCCTTTCTGATTTTTATTTATTCATTCTTTTCCTTCTTCTTCCCCTTTTTGTTTTTCTACATTTCATAGTATCTCATCTCTCCACTCCAACGGCAAGCTCCGCTAGCATTCTTTTTTGTTTTTTTTGCATGGTTTTGGCTCGTGTTCCTCTCCACTCTTTCCCATATCCATCTTAGCTCCGCACATAATAATCTCCCCATTACATCCTGCCTACCTGCACTGTGCGCTTAACTTCACACTACCAAGCAGTACACGCATGGCCTACTGGAACCTGCCCTGCACTGATTACCGACCTGCTCTGGTGGCTGTAGTAAGTGCCACAAACAAGCCGACCCAGTAACTCCTCTTCAGCTAGACCTGTACTGCTGTACCATATCTGAGCGACTGACACTGCCAACTGGAGAAGGAGGAGAAAAGTATCGTGCCCACAAACAAGCAAACAGCAAAGAACACACAGCCCGCCTGCTCAGACATAGCCAAATAAGAAAAAGGACAAAACAAACAAATCTACAATCAATGAACAAGAAAAATAACTACTGAATGCTCTGAACACAGCAGACAATATCAAAACATTTACAAAAACAGGACAGGATGGCTCCAGTAAGCATCCAAAATAAAACACCAGATGACTTTCTAGTGGACGTAAAGGCACTACAACTACCTGATAGTGAATTCAAATCTCTAATACTCAGAATTCTCCAAGAGTTGAAGCAAAAAGCAGACAAAAATGAGGAAAAAACAGACAAATTCATGGAAAATAAAGACAAAAACTTGGAAGAATTCAGGAAAATAACACAGGAACAAAATGCCAAAATAAATTCATAACTAGAAACTATACAAAAACAACAATTAGAAATCCAAAAGATAAACAACAACATTTCAGAAATGGACGGTGTCATACAAGGGCTGAGGAGCAGACATGAAATGGTGGAAGACAGGATCAGTGGAATTGAAGACAAACACTTGGCTACAACTCTGTTTCAGGAAAATGCTGAAAAAAGAACAAAGAAAAATGAAGAGACCCTGAGAGTTATGTGGGATACAATCAAAAGCAAAAATGTGCAAGTGATTGGAGTTCCAGAACAGGGGGAGAAAACAGAAACCACAGAGAGTATCACTGAAGAACTGCTGACAGAAAACTTCCCCATATCATGAAAGATGAAAAGCTGGCCATCCAAGAAGCTCAATGAACCCCATATAGGACAGACCCCAAAAGAAAATTACCACGGCATATCATAATCACACTCGCCAAAACGAAAGACAAACAAAGAATCCTGAGAGCAGCTCGTGAAAAA